CTGAGGCAGAATAAGTGAGAGCATGGATTGGTTTAACCAAAAACCTCGCCTTGCTTCCTGCAAGAGTTGGGTCCAGTGCCTAGCGGGTGTCAGCTCTGGCCATTGCTACAGCCTGGGCAAAAGTGGACTTCATTCTCATTCCTCCCAGCCAGCCTTTGATCTTACCAGACCTGTTGTTTGTCTCCTCTGCTTGTAGCATCTCCTCTCTAAGCCGTGGGCTCCCTGGCACAAGGAGCAGAGTACCTTGGGGCAGCACCTGGCACAGCAGCCCCAGCTTGTCCAGCCCTATCAGCCTGCACATGCTCCTGTAGCCCAGACAGGTTGCTCGCACTCGATGGTAGCACACACCTATGTGCCAGAGCAGCAGGGTTTAGGGGACCCTTCTCTTCCCACCTTCCCCTTCGCAGGGAGGAGGTAGAGGCAGCCCAGGAGGTCCTGGCAAGCTCCTGTTCTTGCTGGTCATAGCCAGACCTTATCAGGCTTAATTGGGGTTGACAGCAGGGAGTCCAGGGTGCAATCCGCATTGAAAAGCAGGTACTGATGCTGATACAAACAGAAATCAGGCTAGTTAATAATTAAGCTGCAGCTTGGCAGCATTCACCTTGACAGACTTGCCCTTCCAAATTAAAACTCTATCTCTCCCCCCTGCCCCCAGTGTTTTATTTATAACAGCCCTTGATAGTCGTCTTTGCAGGCTAACACAGCAGGGTGATGCGTGACACACCTCACCTCTCCCTGCTCCGAGAGCCATCCCTACACATGGGAGCCATCCCTACACACGGGAGCCATCCCTACACACGGTCCCGCAGGAGATGGGGGCCTGTGGCTACCATAGCCCACATGGGAGCATGCCCCATGCTTGCTGCAGAGACAGCGTCCCCCTGCAGCTCTGAAGGCAGGCTGGGGCACTGTGCTGCTGGCTGAAGTGCTTCCCTGAAAGGCAGGAGCATCGGGAGTGTGCTCTGCCATTGGGACGTTGCAACAGTTTTTTCCCTCTCAGCTGTTGGATCTGTACACACAGGGCTGGACTCAGTCCTCAGCATCCCATGGGAACAGATGGACCCAGCAGGCCTGGAGCAGGTTCAGGTTGGGGTCTGGTGTTTTGCAGAGGTTGGCACTGATTCATGCTACAGGGCACTCAAGTGTCCTAAATGGTAGGTGGGGAGAAGTGGCAGATTCATGTAGGTGCTTTGTATTGCTCTTTGGAGGTGCTTAACGCTCCCCTTAATTGTATGGCGAGTATAGATTGGGGCAAGAGATGTGTCAGCTGGGCTCTTAAGCATGTCCTTCCTACCACAAATGGCGCTTCTCTAACTTCAGAGGACAATCAGTGGCCTGGTATGTGGCATGTATGGATCGCTTGCAGGAGTGCATTGAGCAAGATCCAGCACAATATTGACGTGTGACAAACTCTGTTTGTCTCCTACATTAGGATAGAGGCTCAGAGAAAATACAATGGCAGGTGCAATGTTTTCAGATGCACCTTTGAAGTTTGTTAGGTTTCTGTGCTTTGCTTTCCTGTTGCACATTCACAAATGTGACTGCTTTTTAATGAGGCGTGAAGGAATTGCCTCCTTTTGTCATTATCTGCAAGCTTCTTCTATTAACATTTCTGTGAGGTACCCATTTGGAGATGCTGCCTATGCCTTTTCTCCTGCGGTTTGCTTGCAGCTGACATTGAAAGGCTTAGCCTGGCAGTGGTGTTCCATCAGCTGCCCCCATAGGACATCCTTGACGTGCCTTCTTGGGCAACTGTGTTTCTTCTCTCTGCGCCCCAGTTCACCGTATTCACCGCAGAGGAGCTGTGTGGTGACAGCAGGGCCTCCATTATTCATGTCTCGGTGGACGTGCTGTCAGCAGGCTGCAGGTCTCCATCGCTGGTCAGCTTGTCCCTTCACTGCGAGTGGCCTACCAAGGGCTTGAAGGTGCCTCTGGTGGCACTTCTTCCACTGACAAGATGCCCTCTGAAATAGCACAAAAGTCCACAGCGCCTTCACTTCGGTGGAGTGCCTGGTCCCATGCTCACTGCATCCAGCCCCCAGTTTTAGATCAATCTCTCCACTCCTCGTCATGGACATGTCACTTGATTTACACTGAGCTGCCTGGCAAGTGATTGCCACGCTCATCAAATTAGTGGTGATCTGCAAGTGGCTTGCAGAGACAACGCAGCCCCCTGCCAGCAGTCGAAGGTCCTGCCTCTGGCCGTGGACATGGGGGTTCCCATGCAGCCTGCTCGACAGCCTTGGACCTGGCGCAGTCGGAAGAGACGGAGCAGGTCTCCCGCCTCCGAGGAGGGTATCGGGTCTCGCGCTGTCCTGCCTGGCACAAGTACATAAACCAGCATGAACAAGATGCCAGGTTCTGGGATAAAGCCATGTTGGATACCGCTCCCTACGGGGAGGAGAAGGCATTCTGCACTGCTTGTGCTTACAGACTTTCCTGCAGCTCAGCCTTGCCTAGATAGCTAATATCTGCATGAGGCTCCGTGTTGTCTTACCATGCCAAAGGCTTTTGTCAAATCAATTAAAGTGGTGACCGAGGCTTGGTTGCATCGTTTCTCCTGGAGTTGTTAAGCTGAGGAAATTCTGCCCGCCATTCCCCATTTTCAGGGCAGCTCTT